CTTTTGTTTGTTTTAAGTTTAATGTATTCGGTGCTGTGTAATAAATAAAGCAGATAAAACTCAGATCTCTCTCCCATCTGATCCCCCATGAGCTTTGACCTAATAAAGTGGCTAATACTCTTCTCGCGGCATATCCTTCTTTTCACCCTCAAATTACACATCTCTCCATTTTCACCTCCGCGTTCTTTTCAGTCACCGTCATCTCTGCGTTTTCACATTTACATTTGCTCTGAGGGCGTCTATCTCAGCTCAGCCCTGCAGTAAGTTTGACTATTTTATGTCCATATGCTCTCCTGTGTGCCATCTGTCTGCTCCCATATCTTTTACTTGTTCTGCGCTTGTTTGTAGCTGTCGTATATATTGGAAAACTCAGAGCCACCAAATCAAAAGAGGAGGTAACACGGTGTAGAGAGTGTGTTTGTATGCGCCGGTGCAACTAAATCCATGTCCTTCATCTTCAAGTGAGCTGAGAACCACTGTTTTACTTTAAGTAGAACATGGACCCGTCAAGAAAAAGAATGCCAGAAAAATATCCTAATCTTACTTATTAATCCCGTTACTGGCTATTTCCAGACAACTTCAAATGATTTAAAGGTACAATACAATACAATACAATACAATACAATGTATTCTTGTATAGCCCTATGTCACAACAGAAGTCATCTCAGAGGACTTAACAAAACCATTGAAATCACCAACACAGGTCAGAGAATCAACAGCCAAAACACATGGAGAATATAAAGCACACACAGAAGAAAATGTCCATACATGTTGTAGAATGCTAAAGTGTCCTGATCATCACCAATCCTTTCTGTTGGACACTAACTGTCCAACAAGACCCTCCTGCATTGACAAGGAAAAACTCTTAAAAAACCCAGTGGGAAAAAGTGAGAAACCTTGGGGAGAACTAGGGAAACCCACAGGGAGGGAGACCCATATGAGAAAGGGATCTGCTCCTCCGGACGGACAAGCTAATGATCTAGGACCTAAGCTAGCTACAGGACGTGGACCAGTGGCCGCTGAACGTGGACAGGTCCGGTGCAGGACCGAAGCACTCCCAGGCGGGTCGGGCGGGGCAGTCCGCAGGTGTAGATGGAAGAGGCCAGGCTCAGAGATCCCGTCATCGTACCATGAAACAGACAATGGGACAACGGGTGAATAGCAATGAACAAACTACAGTCAGAATCCTAAAAGTGCTAAACAGATAAAGTAGATAAAGTAGGAAGGAGGAGAGGATAGTGCTCAAGTTACCATACTTCTCCCAGCAAACTGACTCCCTATGCAGCTTGACTGACACTCTGAGGAGTTTAGCCTTCCCAGAGTCTTACCTTCCTAGCCATATGCTAAACTAAAGAGGACTGTTTTAAACCTAGCCTTGAATAAAGAGATTCATGGATTGCACACCAAGTGTACAAACCGATCCAAGCAAACCTAATTATATATTATATATCATATACATCATATATACCATACATACCATATATATCATAAATAATACACAACATAACATACAGCATAATATATAACATAATATACAACATAACACAATACATTATTGTATAATATATAACATAATATATAACATAATACAGCATACATATATAATATATACACCATATATTATATATTACCTAATTATATGCTAAATTAAAGTAGAGTGCTTTAAGCCTGGCCTTGAATGTGGAGACCGTATCTGCTTCCTTAACATAAATGGGAAGCTGATTCCACAGTAAAGGAGCTTGGTAGCTAAATGCTCTGCCACCAACAGTGATTTTTGAGACCTTAGGGACCACCAGACGTCTGGCGTTTTGTGAGCGCAACGCTCGACCTGGTTGATACGACACTAACGTGTCTTGGAGATAAGAAGGAGCCAAGCCATTTATGGCTTTATATGTTAAGAGAAGGATTTTAAACTTTATTCTGTACTCCACAGGGAGCCAGTGGAGTGATTTTAACACCGGAGTTATGTGCTCCCTCCTTTTGGTACCTGTTAAGATCCTAGCTGCTGTATTCCGAACGAGCTGGAAGCTCTTCAAAGACGCTTTAGGGCACGCTGCCAATAAAGCGTTACAGTAGTCGAGCCTTGAGGTGACAAACGCGTGAATGAGTTTTTCCGCGTCACTTTTAGGAAGGAAATTCCTAATTTTAGCGATGTTCCGTAGGTGGAAGTACGCCGTTTTAGTTGCTTGGCTTATATAAGCCTTGAAGGAGAGCTCTTGGTCAAAAATGACTCCAAGATTCCTCACAGTGTCACTGGGTACAATACTGACACCATCGAGAGTAATTATCTGGTTAGTGAGGGAGTCACGCAGGCGCTTCGGACCGAGTAGGATCACTTCTGTCTTCTCCGGGTTGAGAAGTAGGAAGTTAAGAGTCATCCACATTTTAAGGTCCTTTATGCAGGCACTGAGCTTTTCTAGCTGATCTGTCTGATTTGGCTTCATCGACAGATAAAGCTGTGTGTCATCTGCATAGCAGTGGAAATTAATTCCATGCTTTTTAATAATGTTTCCTAATGGCAGCATGTAGAGAGTAAAAAGAATCGGTCCGAGTACCGAACCCTGCGGCACACCGAATTCTACTCCAGAATAAGGTGACGAGTTCTGATTTACGTTGACGAAGTGATACCGATCTGATAAATAGGATTTAAACCAGCCAAGGGCTGTTCCTCTAAGACCTATATCACATTCTAGCCTCTGCAGTAGAATGCTGTGGTCTATTGTGTCAAATGCAGCACTAAGGTCCAGTAGGACCAGCACTGACACTTGTCCATTATCAGCAGCTAGTAGTAAGTCATTTGTGACTTTGACTAGTGCCGTTTCAGTGCTATGATGAGCTCTGAATCCTGATTGAAAGACTTCAAACATATTATTTTCCTGCAGGTGGCAGCGAAGCTGCTCAGCTATAAGTTTTTCCAGGATTTTAGATATAAAAGTGAGGTTTGAGATCGGTCTGTAGTTTGTAAGTATTTCTGGGTCCAGGTTTGTTTTCTTCAGAAGGGGTTTGATAACCGCGGTTTTAAAAGCTTGTGGGACATAGCCACATTGTATGGATGCGTTTATTATATTTACGATAGGCTCAATTATCAAAGGAAGTATGTCTTTGAAGAGCCATGTCGGGACTGCGTCTAACATGCAAGTTGAGGCTTTTGAGGATGTGACCACAGAGATCACCTCTGCTTGGCTACATCATTGTTCAAACCCGTTTCACTTTTCAAAATAAGTGTCATAATTTATTCAGATGACAGAATAGGTAGTGGCCATACTCGCTTAAAGCCAGATCCCGTCAGACCTCTGAAGCTGTGCAGGGCAGGGCCTGGTTAGTACTGTGATGGGAGACCTGTGGGACCACCGGGTGCCACAGTGGGGTGCCAAACTGCTGTTGTGTCCTTAGGCAAGACACTTCACTCACACTGCCTAGAATGAGTCTGGTGTGTGTGAGAATGGGTGGTGGTGGTGGGAGGGGCTGATAGCACAGACTGGTTGCCTCGCTTCTGTCAGCTTTGGGGTACAGTAGTAGTTGAAAGGAGTGAAAGAATAATGACATGTGAAGCGTCTTTGAGTGTCAGAAAAAACAATGCATTATTATTGTAAGAAGCATCTGTATCTGTAGTAGTTGCAAGATAGAAGAATGCCAGCAAAATATCACAATCTTCCTTTTTAATCCTGTTAATGGCTATTTTGAGATAACTTCAAATGATTAAAAGGGAGCGTTCAACATTTTCAATTTAAATTACATATACATCTCTTATATGTACTTTGAGTGTCCTTGTGTATGAACTGTGCAATAGAAATAAACCTGCTTTGCCTTCTTCGATCCCCCAGATAATTGGTTGACATATACAAATGATTATTCTTATTTAAAAACACAATGGACAAGATGCTGGTAATGTTCATGGTTTTCAAGCAGATTCTCCAATCAGAAAGCTGAATGAGGCTCTCAATTCCGTTACAAGTTTGTTTGGTAAAATTTAGATGCAAAGTGACACTGCAGTTTGGTGATCCTTTAACTTTTAATCAATTTTAGTGTCAAAGCAGAGTCTCGCTTCACCTCATATGGTTGTGACCATCGTAGAGAATAACACTGGAAAACTCGACAAGGAAACTAGCTCTACAGACAGGCTTTCATTTCATTGCTATTGAAGAGACAGTTATAGCGTTTTATGTTTACCGGCAAGCGGAAGAGAAGAAAATCGAACTTCTGCACTTGTTTGGAAGAAAAACAATTATCAAAGAGCCAGGTAGAGGTCCTGACTCCGGTGCTGTGGACTGTGGGGCAGCGTGTTCATCTTTCAGACTCACTTGTGTCTGCAGTCTGTCTCATGGCTTCACTGCTGGAAAGTGCAGAGAGAACTGGAGACAATTGGTCAAACCAGGACACAGTCTACACAATGATGTCTACATCATTGTTCAAACCCGTTTCACTTTTCAAAATAAGTGTCATAATTTATTCAGATGACAGAATAGGATGACAAGATAAATAACCTATACATCTAAGCATTTGACAGAAGCAAAAGGGATAAGCTAAACTAAAGTGTCTCAACAAAATTACAAAACAAAGACAAACTAATTGACGAACTGAAGTGCACTGACTCCAGCTGCCCCAAGCCGCGGAAGATTGGCCGGTTATATGGGCGGGTCCTCCAGGTGAACACGCAAACGATTGGAGGACTGCCTCTGTTTCTGCCCAATTTTCACTCAGGCATTGCAATCAATCAGCTCCCGGTGCAGGAAACGACTGGCCAATCGGAGCCTATAGGACTCACAAGCTTGCTCTTGTGAAAAGGGAGGGAACACAAACACACAGAAAGGCCACGGGACAAACTCAAGTCATCCCCAAAACAGGGAATTACAGGTTGTGGGCCATAACAATAAGGCAGGGCGAGATGGCAAAAAAGAGAGATGGATGATTATAATTTTAATTTCATTTATGAAGAGAAGAAAACAGATATACAGATATAATGAAAGAAGCTCAATATTCAAGTTTTGAATCCCAATTTCTCACCATTTGCTCAACGACAAGTCCCTGACTGTGGCTCCAGCGAACCACACGGTGATGGAGGAGGTGAGGATGGACTCGATGATGGCCGTGTAGAACTGCACCAACATCTGTGCAGGCAGCTTGGCTTTCCTGAGCTGCCGCAGGAAGTACATCCTCTGCTGGGCCTTCTTGATGAGGGAGCTGATGGTCGGCTCCCACTTGAGGTCCTGGGTGATGGTGGTGCCCAGGAAACGGAAGGACTCCACAGAGGTGATGGGGGAGTCCATCACGGAGGGTGGGGGCGGGGGGACAGTGCTCTTCCTGAAGTCCACAATCATCTCCACTGTCTTCTGGGCGTTCAGCTCCAGGTTGTTACCACTGCACCAGGACACCAGCCGGTCCACCTCCCTCCTGTAGGCGGACTCATCCTTGTTGGAGATGAGTCCAATGAGGGTGGTGTCGTCCGCGAACTTGATCAGCTTCACGGAGTCGTGGCTGGAGGTGCAGTGGTTGGTGTACAGGGAGAAGAGCAGGGGAGAAAGACCGCAGCCCTGTGGGGCTCCTGTATTTATAATCCGAGATTTTATAAAATATACAGTATACTGTAAGTAGCTGCAATGTTTCTTAGCTTGCTGTAAATGCTTCAATATCAATCTTTTGATATATCGCTATGTGTGTGTGTGTGTGTGGAGGTGAATGCATGTGTGTCTAGGTGTAGGTTTGTGGGGTGTGTGTGTGTGTGTGCGTGTGCGTTTGCGTGTGCGCGTGTGGAGTTGATTGGGTGTGAGTGCGTGTTTGTGAGTGTGTTTTGGGTTGTGTGGGTGTGATGATTGAGGGTTGATATAGGTGTTTGCTTCTATCCAACCTCCTTTCAAACATGTCTATTTGGGATTCTGCCAGATTTGAGGTGTTATAATAAATGTAAAACTTTTTCTTTATAATACGTTCTAATTTCAAATATGTTGGACACGTTTACAAAAATATTTGCCATTTCAATCAATTTTATTTACTCGACATGGCAACAAAGTAGCCTCAAAGTGCGTTCTTCCAATTAATAGACAATGAATGAATGTTACTATCATCAAGTCCCCACAAGTCACATATACATCTGTGTAATGTTTGCAAATGATGCCCCCTGTAAACATGTTGACTGGTTTTTCATTAAGTACCCATAAAACATGGTGAGAACAGGTGATATCACTACATTTACTTTTTCATAGGTTCGAACGCGTGTTTAAGCTCTCTGATTTATGGCTACATTACCTTTTTTTCAGAGTTCAAGAACCTCTAGAAATGGTAGTCCCCACAAGTGATGATTGCAAACTTGGTCCCCATGAATTATGAAAACCAGTATGTGTGTGAGTGCGTTTTTGTGTGTGTGATGGTGTGTGCGTTTTGGGTTGTGTGGGTGTGATGATGGGTTGGAATAGGTGTTTGCTTCTGTCCAACTTTTTTCAAACGATATATTTCTGTTCATCCTGTGTCTTGTTTTTATTGTGTATGCACTGTATACATTTGAAATAAAAATACTGCTTTCTACTATAATGCACAGTTGCACACAGATGAAACTATCTCCAGACTCTAGGATGTTATTTTTTTGTCTTGAAAGTACCTTTACTTCAGAATCGTAATTTCCTCTGTCATGATCTCCTGGCACATTGGTAACATAACAGCTGGAGCTTTATCGGCTCTCAAAACAACTTTGATACACACAAAACACCATTAGTAGTTGATGGTATAAAAACTGAGCCTGGGGCAGGACACAAAGTGAGCAGAGCCAACAGAAGGTCATTTGTCAACTATTATTTGTCTCATGCTCAGAAGCAGCAGCACACGGCCAGATTCAGGAAGAAAAATGTCACACATCAAAAATGTGTCAGCAACAAATGATGACACTAGGATTTAGCTGCTTTTTCAAGCAGTCTGTTTTCATTGACTGGGGATGATTCTGCCGTCTCTACATTTGAACCAGTCCAGATGAAGAGCCAAATGCAGGTCAGTGTTATAACTAAGAGCCAAATGCAGGTCAGTGTTATAACTAAACACATATACCGACCGGTGTAGGCGGCTTTCGGCCAAGCCCCGGCGATCCAAGATGGCGCCCTATTCAAATGAATGGTTGTGCTCAGTGGCGCTTTGTGACGGTGTTTTGTCGAGTTGGTCTGCCCGTCGAGATGATCTGGCTCAGCTGTTAATGACGTAATCCAAACCATTACCCGTCTGCCCGTCGATCATCTCGACGGGCAGACCAACTTGACAGAACACCGGCATGGGGGCTGAATGATTAGAGGAAGTCGCCTGGAGGTCGCAAAGATCTATGGGAAACTTACCGGTATTTGGGCATCGTCTGGTCCTCCCGGTTCTGCACTGTGACTATTGATGATGTTAATCTCATCTGTGATTTTAATGTTTTAAAGTTTTTCACTTGTGTGATTTTGTTTTTAATGTTTTTAATATATCTTGTGCTCTTAATGTGTTTGATTTATGCATGATGTTACAGTATATGGGATGTGAGGCGCTTTGCGTTGCCTTGTGTAGGAAAACGCTCTACAAATAAACATTGATTGATTATTCAGCTACAAGCTAGTAATACCCTATCCAGTTATTATAATAGATTCATGCTTTCGGCTCAAAAGTGGCCAAAATGACGTGCGCTGACATGCTGCAATACCACCCCGGGCTGGTGGACCCAGAAGAAGAATTATTCAATGCTAACATATAGCATTAGCAGACCTCTCAAAAACGTCTTTACAGGATGGTCCAAAAGTTGGCTCTTGGCCCAAAGCTCCGTTCCACATGTGTGTCAATGCGGAGGGGGGTGTTTAAGGTCCACTCTAGTTTACTTGCTGTGAATTTCTGAAGTCTCTTGTTCAAATGAATGGAGCTCTCGCCAGCGACGCATACACAGATGCGTTTTTTCACAATTTTCTTGTGGGCGGGACCACTCGCGGCCTTTTTGGATAGAACGGCGGAGATAGGCGTGACTATGTCCGTTAATACATACAGTCTATGATACCGACACACATACTTACTGTAATTCCATGACATTGACTTAGTATCTACTGTAGGGTCAAATGTTACTTTCAAAATATGCGTAATTAAATAAAAAAATACATACATATGAATAAAACAGTAGATCAACAAGATACTTATTTAGATTATTTTTTTATTTGCAAACCAGTCTAATAACGAAATAAGAAGCTTGAGCAGAGACAGTAAACAGTGTGTGGCCATCTTTCTGTTTTAGTTTTCATTTAGTTTGAGTGTTGTTAATAACTCATTTGTTTTTTGGCTATCTGTTGTTTGAAATAAAATATTCATGGAAAATAAAGTAATCCCAAAGTAATGTAGTGCAAGTTAAATGATTTAGACTGAGTAATGTCACTTATTAAATGTGTCAAACTGAGGTTCTGAAGCCTTGTCTGGATTAACAGCGATCACAGAAAGCATTTCAAACCTCTGCCTCTTCAGTCTTACACATCAGAGACACACTGACTTGACCTACAGATTCTGAATGGCTCCGTTCTGTGTCTACATTAATCATTGGATTTTATTATGTAATGATACTTGATGGGAAATAGTTGGCCTTCTTATAAGAAATGAAATTCATTTATTGAGAGAAAAATAAATTGCTCTCTTTCCATTATGAAGTGTTCTGGAGATTCAATATTTTGGATGAGTTGTCCTTGCAGCTATAATATACACAGTTATCACCAGCTTTACAACATTCGTAAATAGAGTTTATTAGATTTGCGAATTTTACCGGGCACAAAAAGGCCCCGTCTTCCCTGGTCTTCCACAGGATCAGAGACAGAAGCTAAATGTAACAGTGTTATTGTGACTTTTGTACATATTATGAACAAAAATGTGAATGCCAAATAACGCCAGACCTCTGAAGCTAAGCAGGGAAGAGCTTAGTTAGTACTGTGATGGGAAAGCTCTAGGAACACGAGGTGCGACAGTGGGTCGTTGTGTCCTTAGGCAAGACACTTCACCCACATTGCTTAGAATGAGTCTGGTGAGTGAATGAATGATTGGTGGTGGTCACATGGACCCACTGTGGGACAGATTGAAGTCTATCTTTAACCTGACTTCAATCTAGTCATTATTATTTCTCTTTTCATAATTTCTAGATACCACACTACTACAAAATAACTGATAACTACACTACTACTACGTTATCAGTGTGTACTGCTACTACACACTGATAACTACTAAGTTTACACAGAAAGCATATATGACCCAAATCCATCTACCTTAATTGTGCCACTTTTGACTATACTTTGTCAACATATAATAGACTATTTAAATAAAGTACAAAAAAGAGGCACTTAATAATTCTTTAAAACCTAACTAGACCTTGACAGCTTCCAAAATTGAGAGAAAACGAGGGTAAGACTCGAGAAGGGGGTGCGGATGAAAGCTTCGGAAGATAAAAGAATTCGGGCTGAGAGTGCAGTGAAATGTTGGCTGGGAAAATGTAATGATAATCCATAAAACAGGAGAAAAGAATCCTGCAGGGAAGACTCCTTGGAGGGACCTACAGTGAGAGAGGCAAAGAGCTTCTGAGAGGACGTGCGGCGCGTCATTAAGGCAAAGACGATCTGGACGAGGAGCAAATGAAAACGAGCGGGACAAGAGCTATTAAGTAATGGGCCGATAGTGAGCCAGCTGAGCTCATTCACGGCGGGTCCAGACGCAGACTTGGTGCAGGGTGGGTTAGGGTGGGGGTCTTCCGCTCAGCTGCCTGTCTTGGCCCACTCTGAAAAGCCCAAGTCTTCCTGTGAGAGCAAGAAGTCCACAGGGAGACATTGTACCAGGCTCAGAGGAGGGACAGGCCACAGAGAGGGGGACTGAGCCTGTATGGACGGGTGTCTGGTGAATATAGGAATCATAACAAGGTCGGGCACAGAGTTGGGATTTTGAGACAGAAATGTGTTTTGTAATGCCGGATTGTTTCCTTGGATTCTGTTCCAAATCATAGACTGTAATAATATGGAACGATGCTGTCCCACAATTAAGAAACTCATAACTCCGTGTCGCTTTAGCTGCTATTAGCTTACATAGAAAAGTAAACTCCTCTAGCTCTGTAAATGGCTGTAAGTGCTCTGAATGATCCTGGTGTTTGTCTTTGAAAATGTCTAACAACTACCGACTGATTTTGTCTTCAGGTTGCGAGAGGGAACAGACTAGCACTGCTCAGGATTGGCTCTTTGGTTGCTAGGCCGTTGCTAACCTCGTCCTTTGCCTTTACTGTAGATGGAATAAAGCCATGGAGCCTGCTCATGTAGACTTTTTATGGGTGATGTCAGCGCTTCGTTAGTCCACTTCTTCTGCAGTCTATTGGTGAAATACTTAAACAGAGAATTTCAACACACAGTGGAGTGAAAAGATGCTGACTTGTGCAATTCTCATAAATTCTAAACCACAACTTATTAGGTTGTTTAAAGGCTCTATTTCAAGATAATGAAAACTTTTTTATTTTTATTTTTATAGCTTGCACCAGTCCTATTTGTTTGGTCTTTATGAGCTTTTGATGTGATGCATGAGCACTTTTCATATTGTTTAGAACCATTTAATTAGCTCAATTACATTCAGGCCTGTTGAATTTTGAAGAAAGAAACAACATCCCAACTTGCTATTTAGCAATCTTTACCAACAATGGGCCTCATTCACGAATAACTTCGTAAGAAACTTCTTAAATTTCTACTCAAGTCGATCTTCAGTAGATTTCTAAGAAGTCCCCACGTGGGATTCATCAACGCGCTCGTAAGCCGCTGAATTGTTCGCAGCTGTTCTCTCAGATTGATGAATGCCAACTCCTCGTAAGTACAGCGCGCGTGCCCGGTGCTTCATTAGCATAGGTACTTAGCATAAGTAACCGCCCACTAATGCCCATATAAGGGACTGCAGGGCCGTGTGCAGACGCCAGAGGAAACAGCAACAGCCCTAAAGCAAAGAGTTACACGGAGCAAAAGAGTCACCCTTTTTTCTTCTTTTGCCAGACTGAGAATAAAGTCATAAAATGTTAACTTAAAAGTCGAAATATTATAAGAATAAAGTCGAACTAGCAAAATTATGAGATTAATCTAAGAATATGATGAGATTAATGTCAAAATGCTACACTGTAAAACCTAACTGTGCTGCTGAATTAAACAATATAAGTGTACATGAATCAAAAGTGGTAAAAAGTTAACAACACTAAAATGTTTGTAGTGTTACAAACTCATTTTGCTATTTTGTGGTAATAACTCATATCATCCAAGTCAGTTTATGATTTTGACCCTGTTTGATTGGAGACAACTCAAATTAACAGAGTTAATGTAACGCATCACGTTTGCTTGTGTTGTGTTGCAAACCTGCGCATGCGCGTCTCACGGCAGCCGAAGGAAAACTAAGATGGCGGATGTCCGCGAATTGTCTAAAAAGTTTATATACGAACGAATTAAGACACGGATGTCACATTTAATGCAATTTGAGGCGAGGTGTTGATGGTTTCATGTTGTGATATGTTGGTTTTAAGAGTAAGAGTTTCGTGTAAAGCTTGGTTTACGTTGTAAATGCTCCTGTCAATCACACTACGTATGATAGCACCTTCTGACGTCGAAGCTAATCACAAACAGCTGAGGCAGTGCAGAGCCTTCTTGGCCATAGAGGACTACTGGTTTTGCGATCTATTTTACGGGTAAAAATGGGGTTTAGCGGGGGGATTATTTTTGGAGTTTGGAGTCCTTCCTTGGGAGCATTTTGTGTTTTTGTGACGTGACTTTCCAATGCGTAAGGATTACAGCGAATCCAGCGGAGGTGACCATCGTCTAATAATTCGGAGCAGCCTGATTTTCCCCAAGCCACGGCCTGTGTGGAACTCTGTTTGATGCTGTCAACACTCGAACCTGAAGTTAACATGTGAGTAGAACTGCCTACTTTTAAATGAACTATAGGATTATGAACACAACTGATAGCATACAGACACAAGGCTGTTAAATCTGCCAAAAAAGGTTTATTTTTAACCTCGTTGTGCGCCATGATTTAGCTCCGTTCGTTGCAAGTTGCATTTTATCTTTAGTGAGACAAACCCACGGATTAAATCTAAAAGCGATAAAGGTTTTGTAAGGTCTGATAACATGTTTTATGTATTATAAGATCTGGTTGTAATTGTGTATACGAGTTGGATGATTTGGACACGGCTGTACTGATTCCATTCTCGCGGGTTTTGTGTTTTGGCTAGGTTTTGGGCTGGAAAAATGTGCTGGCATCTGGCAACCCTGACACTGCAGCCACGAGAGCGGTGCGGTCTTCTTTCTTTCTCCGTGAGTATAATCGATGTCGTAGTTCATTTGAGAGGATTTTCATTTGAATAGAACATTAAGTAATTGTAAGCATTACACGCTATAATATTTAAAAAATGTTTTGCTTTCAAACATTCGTGTTTGCTGTGAAAATCCACAGGCCCGTTTCACGTTTTGCACTCCAGCGGCTAGCACGAAAGTTCTTTATGCCCAATTCAACTTAAGTTTATTGTCTGTTGAAAGAAATGTTGATTCCAGCTTGACCTCTGGAGAAAAACTGGTTATAAATTATATTTAACTGCATGCCTTTTGGGCATAAAGATTGAGAGCTAGGTTAGCTAACCTTGCGCACGTGGGTTTCCAGTTGTCTGTCTTACCACACGCACGTGCTGAAATGTGGAAATGCAAATTGTGCCGTTTTTCAACCCAGATAAAATTACAATTAATGCGGCATTATAGATTGCAGCATGGCCAGTTTTCGTCTATCTCTCCACTACCATGCTTGCATGAAAATTGTGTTTGCACGTTTAAGACATTTAATTCATTGAAAGTGCACATGTCATTATTGCACAATACAGCTAAAGGAAATGGCAAACAAACTGACAGAACGTCTGCATTTCAGTGTCCACTTTGTGAATTTAGACAACCATTTCATGAAAAGGACATGTTCCTTCACTTAAGGGGGCATTTAAAGAAGAAACAAATTGTTCCTTGTCTATTTAAAAACTGCAATTTCAAAACCAATGTGTACTCCTCATTTGGCTCGCACAAGACTCGAGATCATTGCAATTCTACAGAGTATGCCGTTGAGATCGTTGAGCAAAATGAGTTTGACATTCCTCATAATGATGACTATGAGCAGCAAGATATAGTTGTGCCTTGCATTAGTGAAAGATCTGAAGAGCTTAATAGTAACACGGATGAACTTGCAGAACAATTGGAGTACAATTTGGCTGCTTTTTTTTTGAAAATGCAAACTTTGCTCCATGTCTCTGACAGAGCGACGCTTGAAATCATTGAGCACTTTGAACACTTGTTTTCCCTGTCAGAGCCCATTCTCAAAGAGGCCGTTGTTAAAACACTGAAACGGCACAACTGCTCAGTGACAGATCCGCTGATCAGGGACATTTGTCAGGCAGTCTCAGAAAGTAATATTTTACATAAATCAATAACTAGTGAAGGTCCACTGTCTACTGCAAAGAGACGAAAGACTTATATTGAGCAGAGGTTTCTCAATGTTAAGCCTGTTGAATACTTAATTGATTCAACACCTCAAACTTGCATGTATGTCCCTATTCTGTCCTCTCTACAGGCCTTGCTGAAAAAAACAGATGTTCTTGAGAAGGTGCTGGAAACTACTTCAAGGAAGCCAGGTGTGTATTCCTCCCATGTTGATGGCTCTTTCTACCAGGAAAACACTCTCTTTGCAGAAGATGGTATTAAGATTGCATTGATTTTGTATGTAGACGATTTTGAAATTGCCAATCCCCTTGGAACATCAAGAAAAATTTACAAGAACTGTGCAGTGTATTGGTCATTGGCCAACTTGCCGGCAAAATATCGCTCTGCTTTGCACACAATCCAGCTTGCCTTGTTGTGCAATGCAAATGACGTTCAACAGTTTGGATTTGCAAAAGTGTTTGCTCCCATGTTGAGTGATTTAAAGATACTTGAGCAGGAAGGTATCTATGTGGAGGCACTAGGTAGCTCCATAAAAGGCACAATATTCTCTGTCGTTTCAGACAACCTTGCTGCACATGGTCTGGCAGGTTTAAATAAAAGTTTCAGATCAACATATTGTTGTCGATTTTGCCTTAGTAGCAGAGCTGACATGCAGACATTGGATGCAACTACAGACATCAGTCAGTGGAGGTCAAAAGAACAGCATGACTGTCTAACACAACAAATGAGAAATGATGATTCTGAAAGTTTTGGTGTTAAAGACACATGTGTGTTGTCTGACCACTTGTCATTCTTTCATCCCATCACAGGATTCCCCGCCGATATCCTCCACGATCTCTTCGAAGGCGTAGTGCCGGTAGAACTGGCTCTTTGTTTGAAAGGTATGATTTCAAGAAAATACTTTTCATTTGAAGATTTGAATAAGGCTGTTTCAAATTTTCCATATCAGCATTCTGATAAAGTTGACCGGCCTCATCCAATCCCTCTGAGTTATTCATCTCGAGGAACAATTGGAGGAAATGGCCATGAGAACCACACTCTTACGTCTGCTTCCACTTATTATTGGCTCAATGGTGCCTGAAGGGGATGAATTTTGGGACATTTTAATGGAACTTAAAGATGTAGTTGAACTTGCTCTGTCTCAGCAGTTCACAGATGAATCTTTGCAGTACATGGCCTGTAAAATATCTGATCATAGGCAGCTACTTCAAAAGGTGTTCCCAATCTACAATTAAGGCCTAAACACCACTTTATTGAACACTATCCTCATCTGGTTAAGTGCTTTGGGCCCCTTGTGCACCTTTGGACAATGCGATTCGAAGGGAAGCACAGGGTTTTCAAAAAAATTGTCCATGACACACAGAATTACAAGAATGTTCTGAAAACCTGTGCTGGCCGACACCAGGCAATGATGTCTTTTTACTTGTCGTCACCACGTTTTTTCAAACCCCAAGTGCAGACTTCCAAGGTTGAGTCTATCTTTGTAGATTCCCTGCCGGCTAATGTCCACACCCACATGTCAAGCCTTACAAAAGACACAAACATCCTGAGTGCTAAAGAGATCAGTGTTGAAGGCACTTCGTATGCAATTGGAATGTTTGTCTGTACAGGCACTCTAAGTGGTCTACCTGAATTTAAAGAAATAATGAACATTTTACTACTTGGTAGTGAAATTACTTTCATACTTAAAGACTTCAATGCATGGTATGTTGAGCACCTGCGCTCATTTGAGTTGACTGCTGACAAAGACGCGGGCCACACCGTTACACATGTGCATCAACTGAAGGATTCTATGCCTCTGTCTGCATATCGTGTGAGTGGCAAACTGATTATCACCCCTAAACATTTCCTATCCACCTGAATAAGAACATTTATGAGAAGGAAATCCAACCACTTAACATGTGAATTATATGCACGTCATGTTGTGACATGAATATTTGTTTTATTTCAGCTTGGAAACATGGACTCCTCGCTGCGGTTACGTGTTGTACTTGGGGCTGAAAATGCAGAAAAGTTCATTTTGCCTTCCTATCCAGAAACAGTCGATGATCTCATAAAAGAAATCATGACACGATTCAAGTTGACCTTTGACTTCAGACTACAATTTGAAGACCCGGACTTTGATGGGGCACTCTGCAATTTGGTAAACATCGAAGACCTCCCTTCCAAAGCAACAGTAAAAGTTGTAGCCAAAGCAGACCTTGATACCAGCTCATGTAGTACTGACGACTCCTCCATCCTTTCAGACAGCACAGACTCGTCTGATCGGAATTCTGGATGGCCATTTCACTTTGTTGTCCCCACATTCTCTTATGACGTGGAGCATATCTTAAGGGAAGGCAATGTTGCTTTTACAAATGAAGGGAAGAGTCAGCGGATTACTAAAGACCAGAAACATGTTATATTGGAATGCATGGCTGTTCAAATGTACAAACATAAAGCTTACCCAAGTAGTAAGCAGATAGCCATGGCAGCAGAAGCACTTGTGACCAAACATCCCTGCTTGGGTGAGAGAGGCTCCAGGACCGGCTATGATGGATGGAAAAACAGTCTGAGCTACAAGATGGGAAACTATCGCACCAAGTTAAGTCGCGCAGGAATAAAAGACGTCTCGATTAATGCAGGAAAGCGGAGTCGTCGTCGGCCAGAAGCCGAGCCATCAAGAGCAAACATTAAAAGGCCAAGACGAGGTGAAATAAACTTTCTCCCCAACTATCCTTCTGGGGAAAACAAGACGAGCTTGGAGGCCCATCGTCTTGAAATAATCGGAGAGTTTCAGAAGGTTTCCTCGGAGCGTGATGTGCCACTAATTTACCTTCTAATGCAGAAAACCTTTGCTCTCAGAAGAGAGGAAATAATAAACACAAACACTCCTATTTCGGAGCTGAAAAACCGATGGCCTGCCCTCTTCTGCGAGCCTCATGTAAGTGAAGTACATTTGATATAAATTAAACTAAAATTTGGCACACTACATTGTTTATTTGCTTTCTGATTGACACAGCTGTACAAGGAATTTCACCTCATAACAAACAAGAATTTGCAATTTACCTTCTTTGCTGCTTTGGATGAATGTGCAACAAAACTTCTCAGCTTGTACAGACAAAGAAGGTCCGGGCCATTCGGGGAGAAGCTTTCAAGTCTTCTCTTGGACTACAGTGAGCAGGTAAGCAACATCTATCTTACCCTTATACCACCATTACACTCTTAAACCACCCTTATTACACTCACACCCTCATTACTCTTGCACCCTCATTACACCCCGATTCCCTGATTATACCCTCATTACACCCCATATTACACCTCTCATTACACCCCCATCCCCTCATTACACCCCCATTATTCCCTCATTACACCCCCATTATCCCCTCATTACACCCCATCCCCTCATTACACCCCCATTATTCCCTCATTACACCCCCATTATCCCCTCATTACACCCCCATCCCCTCATTACACCCCCATTATCCCCTCATTACACCCCATCCCCTCATTACACCCCCATTATCCCCCCATTACACACCCATTACACCCCCATTATCCCCTCATTACACCCCCATTATCCCCCCATTACACCCCCATTATCCTCCCATTACACCCCCATTACACCCCCATTATCCCCTCACTACAACCCCCATCCTACCCTCACTACACCCCCCAGTACACCTAAATCCTCACTACCCCTTCACTACACCTGTGTACACCCATTGAAAATTGAATGTTATGAATTGAAATGTGCTGAAACCTTGTGGAAGAAAAATAAAGAGACCCAATAGACTGCACAGACATATGCTGTCACAAAAAGTAAAATGTTTTTTTATCCCTAATGCACATAGGACAAGAATGACGTACAAAAAACAAGAACTGCAGTCTTGTTTGGACTACCCCTGTATTTAAAAGAAGACCCAAGCCAGATATTTCGAACTTGTAAGGTAAGTGTTGTGAGCCACTTCACCATTATTGTATGTCTTTTTTAACTTCATTAGATGCAAGTCAGCGGATAGATGCAAATGAGGGGCGACAGTAGCTCAGTTGGTAGAGCATTGGCCTTAAGGCCAGAAGGTCGTGGGTTCAATTCCCACCTCTGCACCTTCTCCACCGACTCCCACTGATGACTGCTGTCGTTGTGTCCTTGGGCAAGACACTTAACCCCACTTTGCCCAAAGCCCCCACTGAAAGATCAAGGCTATGCTCACACTCAGAGAGCAGCCGTCCTCCTGTGGACTCACCACCTGCAGAGGGTCAGTGAGGGGCTGGTGCTATGAGACTTGGGTGGCATCTCTGACTGCCACCCCCCTGACCCAGAAATGGATTAAAGGGTAGAAAATGGATGGATGGATGGATAGATGCAAATGGTGATACCCAAAAACGTTTGGCTTTGTTAATCTAATTGAAGATAAAAAACAATGTGATTTATCTTGTTGTGGTCTTTGAATGTTTTTTAATAAGTTATCTTGACAATAATTGCATTTTCAAAATGATCCTTTAGCTAATCCTTAAATGAGGAAGTAGTTTTTCATTATTTATTGAATGAAAGCCCAACTTTGAGCTTTTTTGAAGCATGGGAGAGTCTGAAAACTGGAAGGGCTGCATTTGCTTGATCTTGGATCTACATGGTTCTCATTGTATGTCTTTTTGTTTCATTTAAGGAGGAGGAACTTGATGGCAGCAAAGATGGGACGGTTGCCCTGGTTGCTGTCACTGGAGATGCTGCGACTCCTTGGTCCGCCCAACAGGTGGCCATCGTGTTGGAGGACCAGATCGTCTCAACTCACCGTTGCTGGGTGGATGCACTGGTTATCCTCTTCGGCCTAATATATGCACTACACCTGGAGTACCCACAGAAAGTAAAGGGCTTCTTTGACTTTCTCCAAATGATCCTCCTCAACTTGGATGAGGGGCGGAGGCAACTTTCCCCAAAATTGCAGACACTGAAAAATGAACTGGACAATGAGTAACACCAATTAACTATTCTTACACCCTCATTACTCTTACACCCCCATAAAACTATCTAGTAATTTCTGAAAGTGAAGTGATGTTGTCCATGTCGATTATTGTTTGTTAATGTCAATGATTGACTGATTTTTGCCCTCACTTGTTTTTTGAGGAAGTTGAATTAAAGTTTTTGCATTTAACCTGGTTTGTTCATTGTAGAGTATTTAAGCTTATATAGTTCAAAGCAGGTTTAATAAAACAATCTGAGTAGAGATTTTAGTAATTTGAGTTATTAACACTTAAATTTAAGACATTCAATTTTCTCAATACATTTAAGTAGAGTTTTCTAAATAGTTCATAACTGTAACTCATTACATAATGGTGGTGGTAAATTAAATTATATAAGTTGACATTTGAGGATATAATGAGTAATAATAACTCAATGAGTTAAAGCTATCCTAACTTATATTTAGTAAGTATTGTGTAGTCATTACAAATGATAACATGTACTTGTACAGGTTAAGTTGCTAAACTCAAACTGTTTAAAGCAGCAGGTTTAGGGATATCGTTTGAGTTGATTTAACTTGTCAGGTTTTACAGTGTATGAGATAAATTTAAAAATATATTATGTATTAATTTAAAAATGAATCTCAAAATGTTTTGAGATTAATCTAAAAATATTTTTTTAGATTAGAGCTATCTAGAGCCATGGGAGAGACCAGCGCAGACCCGTATAGATCCATGGGAGACCCCAGTGCAGATCCATATAGATCCATGGGAGACCCCAGTGCAGATCCATATAGATCCATGGGAGAGACCAGTGCAGATCCATATAGATCCATGGGAGAGACCAGTGCAGATCCGTATAGATCCATGGGAGAGACCAGTGCAGATCCGTATAGATCCATGGGAGAGACCAGTGCAGACCAGTATAGATCCATGGGAGAGACCAGTGCAGACCTGTATAGATCCATGGAAGAGACCAGTGCAGACCCGTATATGGGAGAGACCAGCGCAGACCCGTATAGATCCATGGGAGAGACCAGTGCAGACCCGTATATGGGAGAGACCAGTGCAGACCAGTATAGATCCATGGGAGAGACCAGCGCAGAGACTCAGAGCGGACCCCGCAGCCTCCTGCAGCAGCAGTATATATTCCGTTGTTCTGTGGCCCGTGGATAAAGAAATGCCCCCTATAAATAGGAAGGGGTCACTAATACACGGCATGATTTCCAATGTATTTCATAAAGCGTTGGCACATTTCATTTCAAAATGAATTAAAAAGTAGGCCAGATCTGCAGTGAAAAAGGCGGTATATAAATAAAGATTACTAATAAAGATTACTACAAATAAATAAATACATACATCGATATGACGGACATATCACTGGAATGTTGTATTTTTATTCAACTTCACCAAAGAGGACAACCCCGGCGTGTGAACATGTCGGCACTGAATGCGTACGAGTGCTCCTGAGGACTCGTAGGATTTGTACTTGCCCAAGAGAAATTCTGGTTACGAGAAAAATTTGTGAATGCCACTTTCTTCGTAAAAACCACGTAAGTAGGATTTACGTACAAATCTGTTCCTAAGAACCGTTCGTGAATGAGGCCCAATCTTTTTATCCCGACCATATTTTGAATATTGATATTTTCTATTCATTTCTTCCCTGCAATACATGTAAAATACACGATAGGCCATTGAATGTGGACAAAACACCGCCGGACAACCCTGTGTTCATGGAGCGTTTGTAATCAGACATTGTCTTTGTAACTCCGAGGGGTCTTTAGTCCAAGAAAACAACCCCCTCCGAGCTCTTCAAATGAGAAATTCTTTCATTTCATTTCACTTGTTTTTGAAAAGCAATGGAGCAAGTCACTTAGGCAGAAATGACTGCCCGCGATCGACTTGCACAGCTGTGAGTGCACTGGTACGAACGGGCGCGTGAATCATCTGCCCTGACTCATCCCTGCACCCCCTCTTTCTCCCAAATTAAACATGATGAGTGACAGAATTCTTGTCACGTTTTGTCTAACATTACTTTACATTGGTCTGCTTACCAAGCCCCAGTGATCCAAGATGGCGCCCTATTCAAATGAATGGCTTGTGCTCAGTAGCGCATGGGACTTCACGGAGACCGGGAGATTAGCAGAACTCGCCTATATTTGGGCATCGTCTGGTCCTCCCGGTTCTGCACAGTGGACGAGCTCCCATGATGCATTGCGCCAAATACGCGTGTGTGGCTCTCATGCACGTGCACAGAGGAGCTTGGCTGCGCTTTGACCAATCAGAGCTGCTGATCTGACCAGTGGTGGAGCGGAGTCAGAGCGGGAAGGAAAGGAGCAGAGTTTGTGGCAGTAAAGTGTGGATTTAAAGAAAACCGGAAGATTTAAGAAGAAAAAAAGTTCAGGATGACAAGGGACACTAAAATCCCCAACTAATACGATCTTTCTGAGAGCTGTAGGTTCTCTGTCAGGTTCTTTGTCAGCTGAGGTCAAGCTGTTTTCGTTTACGTTGAGATCTATAAGACTTTTTTCTGGGTAGCACACAGGAATTTAGTCTGCAGTACCACAGCGCCCCCTGTGCCCGTAGGTGGGACAGCGATAAACTAGTAATACCCTATCCAGTTATTAGTAAAGAGCCATGCTGCTTACGGAAGGATTTTGCACAAGAGTAATATACAGTATTCTTCTTTGTTTTTGTTCTTTTTGACCTGAAAAAAAAAAAACTGAAATGTGCCTTGTGTAATTTCTCCTACATGCATTTCCTCTGGTTATGTGATAAGATACACATTTCAGTGAGTGCAGACATGATTGTAATTGGTAGTGGTGGGTGTTAGGGACAAGGAGATTCAAAATAAGGGAAAACATTGCACAAACAAGTGGGAAAGTGAAGCTCTAAGCCTGCAAGCACCCGCAAACACATGAAGAGCTGATAAGCAGGAGAGAGGAAATACAAGCAGGAAGAAAGAGGAGGCGAGGATGAATTAAACATGTCTCAGCAGAAGAAGAAGTGGGCCATGCAGTCTACCTCTGTCCAAGTGTGTCCGCAACCACAGTAATTACTACAACAGAGATGTGTTAGCAAATCCTCGGATATATGAGTAGGATTTTAGTTCAGGGGAATGGGAAAAATAAATATATTAATCACCATGTGCATTATGTTCGCTGTGTATTTGCCAAACAGTCTCCTGGCTAGCTCGCCAACATCGTTAAAGTAGCTAAATACAAACTAATTTTCCAATTTAGTAATCACTATGTTACAGTGCACACTAGGCCGATCTGTTAAGATTAGTAGCAAAGTCTTATGCTAATAAAACATCTCCTCAATCGATGAGTACTTTAGCATCGACCCTGGGATTAAAGCTGGAGCGCCCAAAGCTTATTTTGTGTTTCATAAATAGATTGTTTTTACCAACAGTAAAAGTAACATTATGTGAAAAAATCAGACCGCAACATGCTGTCTTATTCTCATTTGTGTGCGTGCGTGTGTATAAGTGTTCTTAATAATATGTGGTTTTGGGTGGGTCTGCTGGGCGGCCGGGGTGACAGGTCATGGGCATAAGAGGCTGTGTATAACTAGAATGCACTTTTGTGATAAATAATTGGGCTTTTTCATGCAATAAAAAGCACATTTATCTGCGCTTTATGAATAAAATTTGAATGATTCATTGATTGACAGTAGCTCAGTTGGTAGAGCATTGGCCTTAGAGCCTGAAGGTCGTGGGTTCGAGCCCACCACAAGACCTGCTTCACGACTCCCACTGATGTCTGCTGTCGTTGTGTCCTTGGGCAAGACACGTAACCCCACTTTGCCTGAAGCCCCCGCTGGAATATCAAAGCTCCTGTGGACTCAGCACCTGCAGGAGGATCAGTGAGGGGCTGGAGCTCTGTGTACTGGGTGCAGCTCTGACTGCCACCCCCCCCTCCCGACCCAGAAAGGGGAAGAAAATGATGGATGTATGGATTTTACACACATCTATAGATTTGAAAAATACATGAAAGTGAAAACTAGTGATAGAACACTTTTGATCAATCTCAACTAGTTACAGGGATGTGTTTTGTGTTATAGGTTGTTGTGGTTAGTTAGGTACTCCTATCAAGTGTATAATATAAACCTCAAAATGAAAAATCCCAAGATTACAAAATACAGTAATGTTACATTTCGTGTTTCAACATATAGATTAGGGTTGCGGCTGCAGGTTTTCATTCCAACCAAGCAGGAGCACATCAGACTACACCCATTAACTCAAGTGAATCCTGTCTTAAATGGAATCAGAGCTGCTACTTTGTTGGAATGAAAACCAGCAGCCACTATTTAACCATAACTCTGGTGAACGTCATTCTTTTTTAAGGTTTGAGTCTTCCTGCTCTAAGTACTCTTTAGTTGTTTACAACCCTGATGCTAGCTGTGATTCTACGCAAAACACTAAAAGAAAATGAGTGGGTATTGTTGGTGCAATCAAGCATATGTCGCAAGCCTGAACACAACAAGCATCAGTCGTGAAGAAAATAGTAGCAACACAAAAGAAGCCATCAGTACAATGTGTTTTGGGGCAGGTTCCTGATTACAGATTTGTCTTATCTGCGCCGGCAGGCTGTCTCACACCCGAGCGGCTCCAGAGGAAAAAGCCCATTCTCTGCCTGCACATTGGATCTGCGAACAGGGAGCAGCCTGAGAATCACAGGCCTATATATAGTCAATAACTCAAGTCGTATATGGCACAGTCAAATCACAAAATCAATTCTAAAAGACACAGGGGGCCACAGAGGAGGCTGAGATAGTTTGCACTTTTGAGATACAAAGCTTTGTCTCTCTTCCTCTGCCTGGATTCACTGCTCGTTTCTGACTCCGGACATCTCTTGCCAGCTCCCAAACGCCCAGGTCTGCTCTCGCTGCTTTCCTCACAGTATTCAGTGCATTCTCTTTATTATTTCATTTATTTTATATGTGTGCCTTTTGTTCTCTTCTAAGCTGGCCTCTCCTTTCATCTTATCGTTCCATATTCCCTCATGCTCCATCT